TGGGGCTGCTGTCCCCCAGCTGAGCATGCTGTGGAGGAGCTGGCTGGGGCAGACGGAGCTTCAGTGTGGGGCTAGCTGGCAAGCAGTCCCAGCACAGAAGCACCCTCATGCCCCAGCCAGCAAGGGAAGCATCTACACATGCACTGCTGCAGAGTTTTTTACTCCACAGCAGAATAGTACTTGCATTTACAAGTATTATCCTGCTGTGGAATAAATTAGTTTACTCCAGCCTAATAGTTGTACACATGTAGACAATGAGACATTTATTGCACAGCTAATTAGTCTACTGTGCAGTATACATCTCATGTAGCTGCTCCCCATGAGTTGCATCTGTTGTAGTAAGTGTTCTTGGCCAAATGATTTCCACCTCTCTGCATCGCATCTCACGTTCTCCATAACAGTGGAGACATGAAATATGCATGCCCCCGGAGGCTGGCAGGGAACGGCAAACTCCTGCAGGTGGCAGTGGGAGCATGGCAGAGGCAAGTGGGGAGCTGCTGCAGACAGCTGCAGCACTGTCCGGGGGTGGGGTGGGGTGGAGGGGGCGGGGCGAGTACTGACCAGTGGTCAGCGACCACCCGCAGCAGCCAGCAGTGATCAGCGACCGCCTGCAGATGCCACCAGCAGTGTTGGTGGCGAGCAGCAATGTTGGTAGCGCCTTTTCGCAGGGGGTGCACTGCCATGCTCAGGGGTGCACATGGACCTGTGTGCATCCTCTACGTGTTGCCAATGAGTGGAGACCAACTTATTTGGCAGGCCACAAATTAGCTTCACTCCCTCTCCAAGTGCCACTCCAATCTCCTTCCTCTGCCTTGCTTTCTGCTCCATGTCCTATCTGCTGCTGTGCTGCCTGTCCCCTCCCCAATCTGCTGTGCACCACACATAGGTTGCCTGTGCAACTTGTGGCAGGTGTACCACAGTTTGCCACCCCTGCTTCCTAATATGAAGATAATACTTACAAACTACTTCTAAGGCAGTGAATCTCAACTAGGATGCTGGAGATAAGCCGATAAACCGGGGCAGGCAATTATTTTGGCAGAGGGCCGCTTACCGAGTTCCGGCAAGCCATCAAGGGCCGCAGGACAGGCAGCCCAGGGCAGATTAAAAAATTTAGAAAATTAATATTAGGGGCCCCGCGGGCAATGGGGATAGAATGCATCCGGCCACCTGGCCGCATTTTGCCCACCCCTGCAATAAACGCAGGCTCAGGCTTCTCTATGCCTGGATGATCTCACACCCCCACTGCCAGGCCCCTTGGCAAGGGGGTAAGCACTGTAATAAATAAATTAGGTTTTGAAATCAGTGCCCCTCAATTCACAAAAGTTATGGAGAGGTAGCTTGAATCTATTGAGGGTTGCCTTGAATCTCATGAAGGGAACCTTGAGTCCAACAAGGTTGACAACCACTATTCTAAGGTCTTGTGAGAATTTATAGGGTATTTTTTGTGATGGGTTCTAGGGAGGAGCTGAAGGCAAACAGATCAGCCCTGTTGAAGAAAAAACTTTTGGAAAACTGGAAGCTTTATGGCAGTGATTCTCAGCTGTGGTGCCATAGCCTCCTGAGGGTGCCCTGAGATCCTTTCAAGGGTGTTGTGGGATACTGTGCAATATTAACGCTGTTAGATTTACAATAATGAGTCACAAGATAAACCCCAAAATTTAAAATAGAAATCCATAGCTGTGGGCTTTCTGAGTTCTTTGCAAAAAACCTGCTCCATTATTTTTCTGTGGGCAAAAAAAGAATGAAAACTAAGAGCTGGCATTTTCCAAAGGTGGGGGGAGGGGGTGGGGGAGGAAGGAGAGCCTTAACTTGAAAAAGTTGAGAACCACTGTATTAAATAAACCAGCAAAAAACCCCCAAAAGTATGAAATGACCCCACATGTTCATGGTCAGTTTTAGAAAAAACAGCTCCTCCCCCCTGAAAAATGATATCTATAAAGACTTGGAACTGCTCCCCTCCTGCCAAAATCCTACTTTAAAAAAATAAATTTAAAAAAAAAATCAAATAACCAAAAAAAGAGGACACAAAGGCTTAGGCGCTAATAATATTACCATAAAAACTGCACTGAAAAAAAATAATCTGACTCGGTAATAGTTCTGGGTGGCTAGGTAAGTCAGTTTGCCTGTATCACTGATTTGAGTGACAGAGACAACTATATTGGTAGTGTTGGATTGATTTGGGCATGGTGATCTAGGAAATATGCAAGAGGCAAGGATTTTTGTAGGTGATCACTTTTATTGTACAAACTACATGGTTTGCAGACTTAGACAAGCTTCCAAATGCAACTGCAGTCTCTAAAATGCCATGGTTTTAACGCATGCATCCTTCTGGTTAGACATTATTTATAGATCTGTCTTGGAGGCTGGGAAAGTCCTGTGATGAAGGCTCCAGAACTCTACAGAGGAAGGGCAGTTTTCCCACTTGCTCTCCAAGCCTAGGTCTAGGTCTGTGCCCTTTCATCATGGAGGCAATGCAAATACATATACAGTGTGTGGATACCAATACCTGTAACTGACCCCTCATATTAAGTAACTGCAGCAGGATGCTACGTAGCACTGAAGCTGTTTGTGAACTTCATGTTAAACAGAGGCAGGAAAGGTGATCCTTTAGTCCAGGGGTGGGCAATTATTTGGGCCCACAGGCCACATAGGGAGTTTTAGGAAGATGTAGTGGGCTGAGTCAGAAACCCCCACACCACCTTCCATGCAACAGCTCCCCAAACCCCTGTATGTGAGATGGCGCTGTGGGTGGACAGGGAGCTGACATGGGCACACAGCAGCTTCAGCAGGGCTGCCCTTCTATGCCGAGGAGGGACAGGAGTTGCTGCCTGGTTTTGGTGATGGTGGCCAGGCAGAAGCTGCTGCTGGGCACTGGAAAAAAGTGGGACCTGGCAACGACCATGGCTACCTTCCCCTCACCGCTGCCTTCTCACTATGGCTGCCTGGAACCTGAACATGGGCTCTCCCCACCACTGCCAACACTGCCTCCAGGCTGCCTTGGACCCCTGTGCCTGGCAGGAAGGAGCTGCAGGGCAGCCCTGATGAGGGCTCCAAGCAGCTGCAGTGAGGTCTGGCAATGATGAGGGGGAGGCAGCCACAGCCAGGTCCCACTTTTTCCCCAGGGCCCAGCAGCAGCTTCTGCCCAGCCTCAGGCTGAGCGCACAGCCCCAGGGGTCAGATTCCCTGCAGCATTTGCTTTAGACCCGCCTGCCCTGGCCACAATGAACAGTGGCAGTGGCTGAACAGAAGCTGCTGCTGGGTGCAGGAAAAAAGTGGGACCTGGGGGAGGGCACAGCTGCCTCCCCCTCACCACCGTTTTTTGCTGCAGCCACCTGGAGCCCACAATGGGTCTGCCCTGTGGCTCTTCTCCACCATTGCTCTGCTAGGTGCAGGGAAGCCTGGAGGCAGCACTGGTGGCAGTGAGGAAGAGGGCCCTGGTGTGGGCCCCAGCAGTTAAGACCCAACGGCAGAGAGGGAGAGGTGGCTGTGCCCACCTCCAGGTCCTACATTTTTCCTGCACCCAGCAGCAGCTTCTGCCCAGCCACCACCACTCATTGGGGCGGGGGTGGGCAGGTCTGGAGCAGGCATTGCATGGACCCTGACCCCCCCCATGCCAGGTGGGCTGGGGCCAGGTCCAGAGCTGGGGCTGTGCACTCAGCCTGGCACTTGGGCCCTGCCTGTACAGGTCCTGGCCAATCTCCATAGGGCTGGCACCGGGGCTGCCAGGAAGTAAGCTACAGAGCTTCCCCAGCCCTGCTGCGTGCCTGGGGGCACTGGGATGCACCACAAGCCGGATGGGGCCCGAGCCAGGAGGGACCAAGGCACCTGCCATAGGCCGGACAAAATCCCTCCATGAGTTGGATCTGGCCCACAGGCCATATTTTGCCCATCCCTGCTTTAGTCTTTCATAGGCCCCAAGACTCTGGGGCTATCCTTCCAGGGGCCTGGAGGGGAACCTGACCCCAAGCTGGCTACGTTACTCCAGCCCTGGTGCAGCTTCAAACAAAGGAAACAAACGCTTACTCAACAAGATGTCATTCCAGCACAATGTTCTGATTGTAACAGTAGCTATTAGTTACAAGATAATTACCATGTCATGTGATAGTGGTTATCATCCTTGCCACTTCAGTACATGCCAGTTGCCCATGAACAGGAAAGCAAATCCAGGTGCTCTCCAGCAAAAGTAGAGATGAGATGCGCCTATTTCCCCGCCCTGGAATTCTGCAATGTGAAAGGGAACCCATCAGAGAAATGGAGTGCTAGAAGTTGGGTCTCTGGGCAGCTGTGCAGTAGATGGGAAATGCCAGAAGGTACTGTGCGTGTGGCTCTGGAATTGGTTGGAGGAACAGCAGGAGAGGTAACACAGGTTGGGAGCACCTCCCTAAAATATACCCTCAAACACCAACTGATGATCCAAGTGGAAGAATACTGAAACAGCAGTGCACACCTACTTTTTCGAGTGGCTTCTTAACCCAACTTCCATTAAGTGAGCGGCTCTCTAGAAAGGATGCAAGGTATAACTTGTACAGCGATGGGGGAAAAACCTGTCAGCACAGGATCTTAGGGACGTGGTCTGCAATGGATTCTGTTTCATTATAATTTTAATGAATATAACTGACACCAGGGGGGAAAAGAGGGAAATTCCTATCACATCTCACATGCATGGATTGTATTTTGAATTGGGTGGGAATCACCCTCTCACTTGGACATAAAACATCTGTCAGAGAAACACAAGGGAAAATAAATACAAATCTTCACCCAAATATGGTCTTTTACTTATTTTTCTGTTTCTTATTCTTTTCTCCCTTTCCATTTTTGATCCATTCCAATCATTTCTATCATTTTCCTCTCTGAATAACCCCATGTGTTTTTCTCTTTCCCATTCATCCCATCCTGTTATCTAATCTCCTGTTCTTTTCTAACAACTTTGGTCTTTCTCTTTGCTCCCCTTTTCTTCTCTTCTTCCCCAAAATGGAAAAAAAAACTTATCTAAATAAATATAGTTTTAAAACTGTTGTTTTATTAGCCTTTACTGTATACAGTATCCAGCTTCAGTACAAAAAAATCTGCAAAAAGAAGAGAGTTTAAAGAATTCTACTCATTGTCTCCAGTAAGAACTAGCCACTAAACAGAGGTTCTTAGCCAAAATCCTACCCCAGTGCACTTCAAACCTTGGGTTACTCTCAAGCAGTAGTAGTTAGATGCCAAAGATAATTTTGAGGTCTGCCAGAGTTAGCTTGGTGAAGGAGTCTCCTGTGCCTGACAGCACCTGCTGAGCTAGATTTTTCTTCTTGGTCTGGAGCTCTGAGATCTTTTCTTCTACTGTTCCTTCACAGACAAACCTAAAACCAAAAGTACCATCATCTCTTTTCCTAGAGGAAAAGACAGCCCTTCATCAAGTGTTCAGCCCCTTCAATTCTCTAGTGACTCCTCTCATTTTCAGAAAAGGGAACAAATTATTTCAGCAGCATTTTCCATCTAAGGGCAGGAGGCTTACCTTGCAGCTGTGACTGCTTAACATATTAAGTTTTCAATATGAAGTTTACGTTGTTATAGGAGCTGGACTCTGCAACCCAGAGCTCTGATAGAGATTAAGAGCATTCAAACTCAAGGAGCTACACTGAGAACAGGGCTTTGCAGCTCATTAAAAGAACAACTATTTTCTTGCCTTTACAATGCATGTCTCCTGAGGGACTGATGAAGAAAAATGGTTTGGTGACTGAGTTATACTCAACAGCAGAGAAAGGCCAACCAAGCCATTAAGAATGATTTCTGGCCCACTGAAAGAATTCAGCAGTGATCAAGAAAAGCCATGGACCAATTCCAATTCCAGAAAAGCCTTCATAGGATTGCCTTCTGCCCCTTCCTTGCTCCCATGCGAATAGCCCTGAAGTGAGGAAACAAACCCACAAAGCACCCCCAACCAAAGCCTGATTTCACATGAGAGGCACCTGCCTTATTCATTGCTAACCAGGAAGAAGGGCTGTTGCTGCTGACCTGTGTATTACCACATCCTTCTGCTGCCCCACACGGTAAATGCGGTCGCAGGCTTGATCTTCAAGGGCAGGATTCCTGCAAGGTGAGAACAGGGCTCAGCTTGAGAACTTCACAATCATTACGACTAACAGAGTTACCAAGCACCCTCATGCCTGGCTTGTTCATCCTCCCTTCCCCACTGTGCAGCTCACTTCTTCTGTGCAAGAAACCCAACCTCCTTCTAGCTCTTTTACTTTATGGGCATAAGACTGGGGATCCAAGCCAGATGCTCTTCATGCCGTGCCATTATACTCACTGTTGCTTCTCACACTACAGAACTACTCTGTGGGTTCAGACCAATAATCTATCTAGTCCAGTCTTTTTGGCCATATTGTGCATGTGCACATTTGCATTTATATCTATTCTCCAACCATTTGGGTTGGTCTAATAAAAGATAGCAAATTCACCCAAGGAACCTTGTCTGCCTATGTCCTTAGACCAACACGGCTACAACCCAAACCCCTGTATATATATATAATGCACCCATGCACACATACAATATGGCCAAAAAGACTGGACTAGATAGAGTATATGGAAAAAAAAATGATTTTTTTTTTTTTTTACCCCCAAGAGTATGTTCATGGGGAGGAAAAAAAAAAAAAAAAGGTTTCCCCATGTTTGATCAGCTCTGTTGGGAAATGAAGGCATAATCTGCCTATGATGACCGAAATGTCTTCATAACCTCTACTACTGAGTAGTTGGTTTATATCCTGAAGTATGAGAGGGTTTGTTTTTTAATTTCTATCAACATAACAGTTGCTTTAATTAAGCATATAAATGTCTAACGGTTTTGAATCTTAAAGAAGTTGGGTCTTAGTGCCTAGTGGCAGCAAGTTCCACAGGTTAATTATATACTATTATTTTTAAAGGATTTTGATCGATTTAAAATTTGCTATAAAACAATTTCATGGACTGCCCTTTCAATTTTGTATTGTGAAAGAGGGTAAAATGTGATCAAGTAAGAAACCCTTCTCCCTTTCCCTTAGTGCTCAGAGGCACGTTCTCCCCCTTCCCTGCCTGCCATAGGGTGGAGGAAATTTCAGAGCTGCTTCTGCCTGCTCCAGTTGGGCTAAGTGGGAGCTGGGCTCTGAAGCTTCTTCCGCCCTAGGATAATTGGGAAAGCATCAGTGGTGAGCAGGGGGAAGGGGAGGAAGATTCTTAGCTGCTTTGTGGGCAGGGGGTAGTCTTTGAAAAGTTTCCAGAGACTCCCATGTTCTTCCTGCACTGTGTGGTAGGGGTAGGGAAGAGGCTAGGAGCAGGAGTACCTCTGTAGCACAGGCTGCTGCTCCTGCATCCTGCCTTTGCCAAATCCTGGATCTGCCCCTAGCATAGCCTATCTCTGAACCCTCAAAAAGCAATTTGTCCTTACCAGTGTATATCAAGGAGAAAAAGGTGGTTCCCCCCAGTTAAGTTAAGGCCAATGCCTCCAGCTATGAGTGAGAGCAACATCACCTTCAGAGACCAACAAAAAGACAGACAGGTTACTTTCAGGAACCCACCCCCAGAAAAATCATAGCCTGTCTATTCTGGATTTTGGTTCAGGCAAAAGATCAAGATGCCTTGCCTATGTACATGTAGTACCTGGCTGGGGTCATCTAGACCCAGCCCTCTTTCCTGCCTATGCAGGGGGTCGGACTCGATGATCTATTGAGGTCCCTTCCGACCCTAACATCTATGAATCTATCGGCAAGTTATTGGTTGGTTTAGTAACCCTGGAGATTGGAGCTGTATGCAAAACACTATGGCATAGGCTGCCTCCCAGTAGGCCAGGCCTTCCCCAAGCATCATCCCAACAAGTTTCCCTTGACTGGAAAAAGCCCAGGTATAGTGCCAGGTAGTGCTGTACTCATGCCACAATCATTCTGCATATACTACCTCCTGAAATCAGCAGTAGCAAGTTCAGCCACCTTTGTACAGCACAGCACGAGTAGTTAGGCTCTGCCTCTCAGCAGAGCTCAGAATGTAGCCTTCTAATGCAGCTACATGACTTCCAGTCCAGGAGGTATGACACCAGGGGCGCATGCACAGTGTGTCCAAAATACTGCCTGATGCAGTAACAGCCCTGTATAGACCTCCCCTTGCAGGTGAAGAAAGTTATTTCTCTCTGGGCCATTCAATCATTGGCCTCTCTGCTGAGGAGACCAGTTCACACTTATTATGAGATTTTTATTTTTTTTTTTTTGATAACAAGGATCCATGAGAGAGGGGATGTCATAACTCCTGTAACTCCTTTCACTGAAGTCACGGACAACAGGTGGTGGACTGTCTACATCAAGAGGTGATTTCTTGAGCATGGGACTAACAGTTTTCTCTTTGAAGGAAGCTGGCACTTTGCTTTCCTTTAAAGAAACAAACATCTCTATCAGCAATAAGTCTAGTATCTTTCACCCTGAGGTTATCAGCCTGCAGTTCTTCCAAGACATCCAGGGAGTAAAACTAGTTAATGTCATTAGATTAACTCTGGGACTTGTCCCTTCCAGATGGACCTACTCTCCAGAAAAGTCAAGAGTCCTGTCTGAATTACAGTAACTACTACAAAACATTCAGATAAAAACTGTTCTAGGAGAATGTCCTCAATCTGTACTCAAGACTCCCCAGGTGCCTGGAGAGTTCCACTGGGATTTCAGACCTTGTCATAGATAAAAGTGGTAGCCTGCTGTTAGCTCCAAAATGGCCATTACAGTAGATAGTATTTTTTTTTTCTTTTTGACCCAAATTGTGGGCTACCTGAAGGGGTCACTGACCAGTCAACTCATTTAAAAAAAAAAAGGAAGTATGAATTCCCATCTCCCACTGACTTCACATGCCTGTCCTGAGATTTGGGGTGAGAGGTGAATTCTAATACAGTAAAGTTCATTTTAAGAACAGATTGCAGGGCTCCAGAACTCCCCATGTTGTGTGTGCGTAAACATACTTAACCTGCAGAAGCATGAGATGAGCTGGGAACAATTCCTGCTTGGCAACAGGCAACCTTAGATGGAGGATTAACAGAAGCATTACACTGAACAGAGTCCAGATTTGAACGGTTTCCATTTACTGTAATGGAACTCTACCTTTTACAGTTGCACCCACCCACCATTAACCTCCATATTGATGCCCCAAGTGTACTTTGGCCTTGGATATCCAGCCACAAGGAGGGTCAACTAGCTTGGCTATTACCAGCTGCGTTGAGAAGAAATTGCCTATTTCCATTTCATACCTGAGGCCCTTTGGGATTCGTATTGAACTCTTCCACTACATCCATCCTCTCTTTAGGATTTACAGAACCATCTATTGTCACGTACTTCAACCCCAGACGCTCAAGATGGATGGCCACAACTTTCAACATGCTAGTCCACTGAGACACAATGACACTGAAAGAGACAACCAGGAGTCCAAAACAAGCACTAGATAATTTTGTACCCCTTCTCTTATTGTAGGGTTACAACCTTTAAAAGCTGAGGGTACAAGACTCCTCCTCCCTTCCCACAGGGTAAAAACACAAAACTGCACTGTATAAGTCTTTTACTAACACAGAAGTGTTGTGACCCACCTTGGAGGTCTGCTGCTAGGATCTGTTAAACAAAGCTAGTGCGACTGACCCACTCAGGGTAGATAAAGTCAAAGAACCTCACTGCTATTTATTTTATTTTATTCAGTTCAGTGTCCAAGCACCTTCCACATAAATTCACACCAACAGCTAAAGTGCCCAGTCTTTGGATCTCTGTCCTCTTTGGGACCAACACTCTGCTTGGGGAAGGAATTTCATTTCTTGCTGCATTGTGGCTGGTTTGGTTGGGAGCTAGGAAGGGTATCCGTGTTGTTGCTTTTATAAGGAAGGTTTTGCAAAGAGCATTCTAAAGATACTCTGACTCTGGGATTGTCTAATCTCTGGAAGATCACTCCAGAGCCTAATGCCTACGAGTAAGCCTCACCCAAGCTAGAAACAGGGTACTTGAGCCTGGACCGACAGAACAAATTACTGTCAATCAAATGAGATTTCAGACCTATTAGAGGCTTGAGTTTTGCCTGAAGTTACCTTCAGTGTATCTGCAAATACAGAAAGTATGTGGGCATCATCTTTTGAACCAATTTCCTTCTCCTACAAACAGGGTGACCATATGTCCTGGATTGGCTGGGACAGTCCCAGATTCTATAGGCTGCCTTAGTGTCCCGGCCATTGGAGACAATTTAAGGAAAAGTCCCAGATTGGTGGGAATTTGGGAGCCACAGGGTGCGTGTGCATGTGTGCACATGTGGCAGGGCCAGAACAGCTGTGGGGATGCATTAGGGAGTGCAGTGTGCTTCTCATCAGAGCTGGGGCTGCAGGTTGGGACCAGGGCGTGGGCTCCGTTTGTCCCATGTTGACTCACAGCTCCATCCTGGCACCTGCAGCCACAGCTGTGCTGTACACCCTTGGGCCAGCTGCATTGGAGCCTCCAAGTGGAGAGCCTGGCCGTGCCCTACCCTAACCTGGGAGGAGGTCGTGAGGCCAGGGCTAGCTGCACCCACCTGGTCCACAGATGTATAGCCAGGACGTGGCTGCAGGTGCTGGGATGGGGCTAGAGCCCCGACTCAGAGCCTACACTACACCTCCAGCCCAACAATAATTATGGTCACCCTACTACAAAGCATTTTGCATTTAAACTGTCCAAAAACCAAAAAAGAAACAAACCAAAAACCCAACCCCAAAACCCCAACAGTTCCCAGCTTCCAGATTAAGTATGTAATGATATTCCCCTTCAATAATAACCTAATCAAAAGCCAAAAACACTTGGGTTTTTTAAAACAATTTCTATGCACCCTTTAGGGATTAGACTGAACCAATATCTTGTTTTCCTACCAAGGTACATTCTTTGGCACTTTACTTTATTTCAAAGAGATGCTGCCCTCCTCCATAACACAGCATTATCTTTATGCCCAACAGAATTTCAGGCTTCCTGGCTTAAGCCACCATTTCACAAAGCACATGAAGTGCTATGATATGGTGAGGATTTTACTAGACCAGGAATTTTCTTATATGTTTATCCTAAACAAGTTCCCTCTCTCTTCTCCATTTCAAAACACATCCCTCCTCCCCAAGAAAGAGAAGCTGACATATTTACCTTTTCTGGGATTCTAAATGACTTTGGATGGCCTTCAGTTCAGCCAGGAGATGAGATATCTGCAAGGAAAGAAATCATCCCACTTGTGCTGTTATATGCCAGTCTGTGCTTTATTACTATTTGCTAGAAGAGGAGACGGTGAGTCCAGACTTAAAGAGTTGAACTTTCTGTATTGGATCAGGCTACAACCATTTCCTTTCTCCCACTCGGTTATGATTTTAACAAACTCCCTTCCTCTATTGAGAAGTTCTGTCCTGCTCTGAAGACCTAGTGTTTGGGACCTGCCTTGACAATGTATTGGCACAGTAAATCCTGTTGGTTTTATTGCAAGACCCCTGTTATAATTACCACCTGTGCAGTCAGAGGAGTGCAGCACCCCTAGTATATGCTAAGCAGTTTATCTGAACCTTCACAATCCAACTGCCTACTTGTGTAGGCAACTGCAAGTGTTAAGCTACTGAAATGTATTAACATGTAAAATAAACCTGTAAGAATGCTGAAATCTAGGACATCCAAAAGGATGACAGAATCACAGCCATAATACCTTGGTGCTCTGTCTCGTGACTTCAAAAAGATCCACACTGAAAGCTGTGCCATTGAGGTAGACTGTAGATTTGGAGTCAGGGCTTTGGAGTTCAGACAAAGTCAAAGCGCTGAGTTGCTCTTCGAGGGAAAGGGAGATGCCATCACTGTTCAAGTTAGCTTGATCCAGAGCCTGCAGATGTAGTAATTAAAGCAAACAGACGACAGTAAGGATGATTGACAGCCAGATGCTGCAAAAGGGCTGCTGTGCCATTTTAAATCCCTTCATTCAGAAGTTGTTTCCATTACAACCCACCTGAACACTCCTTAGCTAGATCTGACAAGATGACAGCACAAAGGGATGCTGGCTGAATCTGGTGGTTTCCCCAACCCCTAATTCTACCTACTGCGTTAATCACCATACAAGATCATACTGTTACCATTTTTAGCAGGGAAAGATGGCAGCAGCATTGGCGGAGTCTCAGCAACATGGACAAGACATGGACCGTACTAGAGACCTGGGAGGCCCCTCCTGAGACATCTTTTTGGCCAGCTCCAAATTCTTGTGCTAAGAGGAGGGAAGGAAATGGAAGAAAACCTCAGGAGCACCTCAGAGCAGCAGCAAAGTTCCACTCTGAGGCAATGAGAAGTGAAAGGAGTGCAAACATCTAACTCAAAGGGAACAGCATTAAACCCAGGTGAACAGGGCATTGCATCCCATGAGAGTCCATGGGCTTATCATAACACTATTTCCACTGGACCTCTCAGTAATCCCCATAATCCCCTGTTGAGGAGATGTTACCTTTCCGCCCCACCTTTTTTATTAATAACAGAAATTTAAAGCCTAAAGATGGAAGAAGGCAGCTTCTATCCCAAGAACGCAGACTCAGCATGGAAAGAACTTCTGAATCTTGACTCTGTCTTGTTCAAACCACCAAACAAGAATGTTGCCCATTTAACTCTTCCCACATTCTTAAAACCCTGTACTTTCTTAAAACCCTGTACTGTGCCGCCTCCTTCCTTACCCACTGCAAAAGGATAACAAGGCAGCATCCTGTGCCCTGTTCCTTAAAGGGAAGCAAAAAAAATGTTCTGTGCACACAACAGTGCTTTCAGTTCCTGTGTCATGCACCAAACCAAAGC